CGGAAGTAGATTGCCCAACCTTCCTTCCGAGGAGTGGCTGGTGGGTTTGAACTGCCAGCCTTCTGGTTAGCAGTCAAGTGCCTTAGGCACCACTATTAAGCACCTTAATAGCACCTTCCGGCCTCTACCTACTACTCAATTCCCAAACTGCTTCCACCTTTTGGATATCTGTTAGAGCAGCACCCCACTCTTCCAGCACCAAATTCTGCCTTGGTTATCTAGGGCTTCTATAACAGAACTCTCACAAAGGAATGCCTTTTACAAACAGAACTTTATTTTTTCAAAGTTTAGGAGGCTAGAAGTTCAAATTCAGTGTGCTGGAATTTGTGTAAGCAAAGGCTTTTTCTTTCTGCCAGGTGTGGGTAAGCTCCTTGTCTCTTTAACTTCTGTTTCCTGCTTCCTTGAAGATTTTCATGTGGCTTAGCATCAATTTTTCCTCCATCTCTGCTTGCCTAATCTGCTCCTTTTATTTCTTGTAAGAGATTGACTCAAAACACACTCTACAGTAATCCTGCCACATTAACAACAGAAAACTCATTCCTAAATGGGATTATAACCACAGACATAGAAGTCAACATTTACAACACTTATTTTAGGGAGACACAATTCAATTCATAACATGGTGTTTGCACACAGTGTGAACTCAATCATCTTAGCTTTCTTTTTTCTCTCATGTTGTTCAGACACATCAATTCTAGGGCAGCCACTTGGAAACTTCAAACACTGACTGAGATACAAATCCTTGATTTTATGGTCTTCTTCCACTTCTTCTTCTTCTTTTTTTTCTTTATACTTTGATACTCATTATACTCAGAGATTCTAGACAGTGGTGAACATTTAGATAGGTCAGTGCATGAAGTCATATAAACAAGAGTAAGACGAACTCTGAGTAGCAATTGCTCAATGGGAATTCCAAATAGAATCCTAGTTTAAGAATCCAGAATAAAATCCGTAGGGGAAGAATGATGGCCACAAATGAATAATCTGGTCACAAATTCTGACAGTTATGAATTATTTCTGGAGACAATGAAGAAAAATATCTGAAATCGGTACTTTCCTGAAAAAATCATGACCTCAGGTCAATAGCTATGTTCATAAAACCAAAACCAAACTCACTACCATCGAGTGGGATCACACTCATAGCAACCCCTCCTTGGGCTTCCAAGGCGATATTACTACAGAAGTAGATTGCCCAACCTTCCTTCCAAGGAGTGCCTAGTGGGTTTGAACCACTAGCCTTCTGGTGAGCAGTCAAATGCTTTAGGCACTACACCACCAGAGCTCCTCTAATGTTAGGGAACAAATCTAACTAGTTCCAAAGTTCCCTTTTGAATGTAAAGCTGTGCAATTCTCACAGAAGGGGGCGCTGTTGTGAGCTGGCTATATCCTCTAAAAGGTGCTACCACAGAAGTTACTGACTGAGCTATGGAGCTAATATCCTTATCATAAAAAAACAACAACAACTCCCATGACAAAGAGGACATTTTGAAGTCAGAAACCTGTAGACCAGGAGGGCAGGGTCTTGAATATATTCCAAAATCAGAGAGGTGTTGCTCTGTCCCATTTTCTTCTTGTTGTTATGTGTCGTTGAGTCGAATCCGACTCATAGTGACCCCTCCTTGGGTTTCCGAGGCAGTATCACTACAGAAGTAGATTGCCCAACCTTCCTTCCGAGGAGTGTCTGGTGGGTTTGAACTGCCAGCCTTCTGGTTAGCAGTCAAGTGCCTTCGGCACTACGCCACCAGAGCTCCCATTTTCTAGTTTACCATCATTTGTCTGAGGTACACATGCCATTTGATCACTAAGCAAATGCTGATATCACTATGTTTGAGCAGGTAGTGCCTCTTTTTGCCACTTTTCAAATGTTATGGAATCAATAATAAACCATATTCATTTTAGCAAAACATCATTTTCTTTACATGGGTGATTTAGGGGGAAAGTAATCATTGTTTCCAAATCATTGATATTTATTCATTGAATGTTGGGGATTTTTTTTTTTTTTTTTTTTTTTTGAAGCACTATTTGGTGCTCAGGAAGCTTTCAAAAAAGAAAAGAGAACTATTCCCTTCATTCATGCATTCATGTATGGTCAAATGTATAAAATGCCTTCAGAGTTAGGTTATAACTGCTCCTCCCCACCTACACACACCACACAAGATGGTCACACACAGAGATGACTGTATCATTGGAACGATAAAGAGACAGAGATGGCCCTATGGTTTCAAGGCAGTGCAAATGTAAAATGACAGTGTTGCTGATAAAGATAGGAAAGGTTTAAATAATACAGAAAAAAAGGTTGAAAATTTATCATCACAATTTATATGTACAGACTTTCATTTTCCTTGTTTCTCTATAAGTGAATATTCATTCATCAGCCACCACTTCTACTCATAGCAGAAAATATTTAATCTTGCCAGTTATATGGTGAAGCTTAGTCTTCTTTGAGCAATTCAGACATCATTCTTTCCCTCCCCTCTGAGTCTTGATTTCAATTCACAAAGAGGGCTTGTAATTCACCCTGACATTCGCAGTTCTTCGTCTTTGGGGATAGGCCTCTGCCCTCCACTCTCGAGCTACTGCAGATGAACTGTAGATCAGAAACCTGGGCACTATCTGCGTTTTTTGCTTTGGGTTTGATTGGCCAGGGCTGCACACTGACTTGAGACCTAGGGTCCTTTCCAAATGCACTGATTGTTGGCAGAATTCATTTTTTTAGCAGTTGCAGCACTGAGACCTCATTTCATTGCTAGCTG